TGTTGGCATATGTGGAAGGTTATAATTTAGATACTGGTAATGTTGGCATATGTGGAAGGTTATAATTTAGATACTGGTTACGTTGGCATATGTGGAAGGTTATAATTTAGATACTGGTAATGTTGGCATATGTGGAAGGTTGTTATTTAGATACTGGTAATGTTGGCATATGTGGAAGGTTGTAATTTAGATACTGGTAATATTGGCATATGTGGAAGGTTATAATGTGCATGGTGTTATGGCATCTTATCATTATTTTCGTCACAATCTGATAAAACAGCACATTAAACTAATCAGCTCTGATTACAGCTTTAAATATAATACAACAAACTTCGCGTAACCTTTAGCTATTTGAGCAGATAGCAGATTTTTAAACTTAACAATTTGAATTTAAGTTAACTTGTAGTATCGCCATGATAAAGAATCGCAGACTTTTGAACTCAGAAAGTTAACGGCCGCAGAAGAATCACTGTTCATGATTCATATTTAAGGATAAGTGCGATCAAATTATAGGCAAAGGTATATCTTTTGGTCCAGGCATTTTGATTTAGAAACTTATTGCAAGCCGCGAACCCACAACTAATCGTGCGATGAATGTCACTGCAAAGAGCTATTAAAGTCAATACTTTTGCAGTATAGTTTCAACCAATACGTCCGGTTTTTAGCAATTTCATTTGAAGAACCTTTCAATAACTCCTCCTCCGAGGTGATACCACGTGCACAATAGGTTATTGAATGAGCACCTGAACAATTCTGTGAAAAATGAACTGATCGGCTGAATGATCACCCAATTAATCATCGGATTCCAAGAATTTGTCCGACAATTCCAAGAATGTTATCGTTATGATATTAGAGTATTAGGAAGAAACGGAAAATAAAATATAAATAATTTAGATGCTAAAAATTCAGAATATAAAATGTTTTAGTTGTGGCCAATGAGCCAATAAGGTATTGATTGGGAATCGAGCGGTTTACTCGATTAATGTTTACTCAAAATTATAATACAATATTCTTGTTACAAATTCGCAAACAAACGATTCCCACATTTAAAAAAGGAAGCCAAACCAAACAAGACAACTGAAACTTGTATCGAATTTAATTTAATTCCAATACTGTTATAATAGGAGCAGCAAGATGACTTATATAATTTATCTCAGTCCATGTTTTAACGCGTTATAAATCGGATCTTTACCGGTTTAAATGAACTTTTGTTGGCAGTCTGAAGTAGAACTAGAAGTTCCCATCCATCTTACGTCAAAAGCAAGTCAAAGTGCATGGTCCAACACTGCAGTCTTTAAGATAAACGGAAGATGTCTGGCGTTTGAGCAGAATCAAAGCTTAAATTTGGATCAAATTATGTGGAAATAAATTTTCAATTGCTTTGACTCTACTCCGCCACTTCATTTTTTATCAAGTTTAACGTCATGCTTGCAAAAACTGCGTTATAATCAGAGGTTATAAGTTCTGAGCATATTCAGCTGCGTGAGCTTCATGGTTAACTTGCCTCGTGGTTACGACACACAGCACACACCTTAAACTGTATAGCATTGCCTACAATACAACAATCAAGCGATGCAATTTATGTACCTGGTCCAAACCGCGTGGGTCGACAACTCATATAGGATATTGATCACATCAACCATGCCACCCGGGCACGTGGAGGTTTTATTAGACAATGTATCTGAAATGTCCTCGAAAAGTAGACACAATTCATTGGCATTTGGTCACGCTATATAGGGGGGGGGCCAATGGCATAAATGGAGAAAATGGAGAATTACTCATAGGTTTTTCCATTTTCTCCATAGAAATAGTCTCCATTTTATGCCATTTTATGCCATTGAAAACCTGAAAAATTTAGAATTTCGAGAAAAATTATTTAAAAAAAAGATATTTTCGGCCAATAATGAACAGAGTATCATGAAACATGGAGAAAAGTGGTTTTCAGAAAAAATTTGAAAAATGTTGACTTAGAAATTTTCGGTCCGAGTCGTTCTCGAGACGTACCTCCTGTATCGGGAGCTCCCGATTCCGAGCTCGTGTTGCAAAGGGGAGGCCTGCCTTCCGAGATCGCATTACCTCGAGTCCAAAATTGTGTATCGAGGGGAAGGTGTGGACTTCGAAAAACCGAAAAAATATTTTCGGCAAATAATGAACAGGGTAGTGCTACCCGGTCATGAAACGTGGAGAAAAGCGGTTTTCAGAAAAAATTTGAAAAATTTTGACGGAAAAAATATTTTCGGCTTATAATGAACAAGGTAGCATGAAACGTGGAGAAAAGTGTTTTTCAGAAAAACTTTGAAAAATTTTGACTTAGAAAATTGCCTCTCGGTACACAATTTTGGACTCGAGGCTTCCCCCTGGTAATGCGATCTCGGAAGGCAGGCCTCCCCTTTGCAACACGAGCTCGGAATCGGGAGCTCTCGATACGAGAGGTACGTATCGAGAATGACTCGGGCCGAAAATTTTCTAAGTCAAAATTTTTCAAAGTTTTTCTAAAAACCACTTTTCTCCACGTTTCATGCTACCCTCTTCATTATTAGCCGAAAATATTTTTTTAGTTTTTCGGTTTATCGAAGTCTGCACCTACCCCTCGATACACAAATTTGGACTCGAGGCTTCCCCCTGGTAATGCGATCTCGGAAGGCAGGCCTCCCCTTTGCAGTGCGAACTTGTTTCGACTGTCGAGGATGTAGGTCTCACTTCTCAGTGCCTATTACTCTCCCCGGGGGGGGGGTACCAATGGCATAAATGGCATAATGGAGAATTGGCCAATAAAAATTTCCATTTATGCCATAAAACGTATGCCATTTATGCCATTTTTGATATAATACATTTCTATTTTCTTTATTTGTCATATGAATCTTTAACAATCATTCCAAGCGTTATAAAGCATGAAACATGTCTCTTATTCAAGTACTAATAATAATTTGCGAATTTAAAGTCAAATATGAAGACCTAAATTCATGGCATAAATGGAGAATTGGCCAATAAAAATTTCCATTTATGCCATAAAACGTATGCCATTTATGCCATTTTATGCCATTGGTACCCCCCCCCCCCCCTCTCCCCTATTACTCACTCCTGCTGTAGCCTGTAGAAATAACTTTACACTAGGCTTGAGTAATTATGAGTTTGCCTGAAGTGTGCCTCTACTAACCTAGTATAAGCATCTAGTAGCCTACTATGAGCTTTCATAAGCTTGTTACGCCCCTAGTAAGCGTAAATAAACATGTTAGGATGTCCAATTTAGGTGTTAAATGGTGTTAAAGATGAAATTTCGAAGACAAAATTCATGGCATAAAATGGAGAAAATGGAGAATTACTCATGGGTTTTTCCATTTTCTCCATAGAAAAAGTCTCCATTTTATGCCATTTTATGCCATTTTATGCCATTGGCCCCCCCCCCCCCCCCGCTATATAGTGGTCACTGAAAGTTATTGGGCGGGGGAGTTATTGCCACTAGCAATTTATTATGAGAATGGTGAAGGGAGAAATTACAAAGAACTAGTGAGTAGTGGCATTTTCCGCAATTTTCGACATTGGTGGAAATTAGATCTAACTTTTTCGACAAACTACAAAAAGCCCAAAATTCGATGACGAATATAGCGACGAGGCCCCCCCCCCCCCCCCACAAACTTTGCTTGGGTACTGGGTTCCAGTCTTGAACGTTAGAATGATCCTCCTCTCGTGGTCATCACTTGTGATTTAATGAGAACTATATACTTATATAAAAGGGATCGAAGGATCAACCTAACGCATCACGTACCGTCACGTGGTTAGATTCTTGATCATCATTGGCTGCCAATATTGGACTGGATAGAATCTAATCAAAGATAGCATGGTTCAGCATTGTTTCAAATGAAAATGTTCCTTCCAGAATGATCGGTCGAATAAAACGCTGAGCTTTTATTTTTATCAGCCGTATTTTATTGACCGGTTATAATACCTTCCGGGAATTATATCCACTAAAACTCGTGGACACTGAGAGCTGATAATTTGCAGATATATCCCGCAAGGGAAGCGAAGGTATTATCAGCATACCTTAGACTCAGACTGGCTAGCGGCAAGTTTCAAAACAAATAACACCATGTGCATGGCGTTCTATATATAGTGTGTAATATATATATTACACACTTTATAAAAACTTTGACGATGCAGTACAGCAAGATATTATGTCATTTTTTTTTATCTAGACACTTATTTTACTTCGGTGTATTCCAACAGCCACAATGTTACACAAGTGCAACCAGCCAATTACAGGAAGCCGAAGGATCTTTTTGGCCAGTGACGGTTAAGGTAGTGTGTACCATACTTTCTTCGTCCGAGACTTTGCTGCAATGTGCAGCTCCTCATTTAACCCTCACACCCGATTTCTCGAGTATTCGGCTGAGTAGACCGGGGGGCTGCATAGACCACTCATGATCCTTAGCTGAACGTCGACGACGCTCACCCCACGACCAGGCAGTCAGTGGGTTTCGAACTCGCAACCTAACGATTGTAAGACAGGCGTTCTAACCAACTGCGCTACCTGGCCGCTTAAAATCATAGTTGTTGAGTGCCAATGGATCTATCAAAATAGGTTTCTCAGTAGACCAAACAGATAGTTGTTTCTGTAGATAGGATCCGACAACAAGAGTGCTTGTGTGTGAATTCTGACTATATTGTATCATGCGCACGTATCACATTACACCCTTTCCAATCGGAACCGGAATGTATTATAATACATAATACCTTGGCTTTTTCGTGCCCACGCGTTCCCTCCAGCAAGCTGTCGGGAATTATCGCGCTCAGCACTCAAAAGCCAAGGTATATATTATATTATATATCTAATTTATCCTTTTAACAAAATCCTAGAATTATTGAACTGTTGATTTTATGATCGCCGGAAACACCAAACACGGTCAACTTTAAAAAATAGAAAATTCGGCCTTCAAAAACCCCGTTCCTGTTACAATCTTCATTATCATCCAACACTTACCTACCTTCATTTCTTATTTCAGTGATAAGTTTGTACAACGAGCAGCTTAAAACAGTTCAGAACATCTTGGGGCGGGCAATGTTGAACAACATTGACGATTTTAGACGAAACGCCAACATGTTGATTGGGATTACCGTGACTGCACTCATTTTTATTGCCTTGGTTGAGCCTTTTCTTTTCTGGGCTAATATAAGTAAGTATTATTTCATTACTTAGTTGTTGTTGAATATATTTGTTTACCCATTCCCCAAGAACCAAAATTATTCAAGAATATAATGGCTCCTTGATCGAGCAACCAGTGCATATAAGCGACCAGTTCATCGGTAGTAGTTCATCGGTTATATTTCAAATAATTGGATTTGCGTTTACGTTATCAAATAACGATATTTTTGATCTAAATTTAGGTCACACCATTCATACTTCACCCATGAAATCAAATAACTTCGTGGACATGTTGACCATAATTGTGGCGTGAACTTGTCTTATAGTTATATGTTTAAACTTTTAAACTATCTCCTCCGGGTCATAACATGTCATTACAGGAATAATTAACAAACAGTCGTTAGGGTATTTATTGAGATATTTAGCTTTATATTGCCTGATAAACGAAATGACCAGTTGCAAGAGACTGTTCACTTACTATAATAGAAGTCTAAACAAAAATAAAAATACTCAAAACTGAGCAAAAATATCTACTATAAGTAAACTGAACGATAAATGATATTCCACACAAAGCATGAAATTGTGCTGTATATGACTGGTGATTTCGCTCTGGGAATCAGGGTCAGTAGCTCAATTGGTAGAGCAAGGCACGCGAAATGTCGAGGTTCTGGGATCATTCCCCAGTTGTCTCTAGTTTTTCAGAATTAATTATCACCTATAGACAGCATGAGAGTAGGCCCTGCCATCTCGAAGTGATAAACTGAACGACTATAATAAATCTTATAATTTTGATGTTTTTACTTGTTAAAAAATATGTGTCGATGGTTACCAGCTCAGTCGGAAATTGAAACTTTTTTGGTCGTTATTGAGCTTTAAAAGCAACAGATAAAATTATTTCTAATTATTTGACGATATTTTGGATTTTTGAACCTCCCTCCCTACCCAGGTACTAGTTGTTAAATTTCATAAATTTGTTGGGGCTTTTAAAACATTGTTTAAAGTGTGACGTAAACGACTGAGAATTGGTAGACTTTGTCCGCTTTGATATTAGATTTGACAGCTAGTATGAGGTGGGGTCAATCTTCATTAAATAATGGAGCGAGGAAGGAGCTACTAAATGTGCGCAAGACACCAATTTGTAGTTATATCCGACCTTTAAGGCAACACAATTTTACGCTTTAAACCATATTACGTGAACTCAAGAAAATGTTGTTTACTCCCAATTTGTCTTCTCTAATATTTGATTTTACCATAGTTGGGGAGGTGACATAATGTTTCTTTATTTAAAAGTCGAGCAAAGAGCAGCTCAACTAGTGATGCAGAATGTCTGTAATTTGGAAACATTACCTTTTTATACGTTTGATGATTGATTAAAGCCACAAAAAGGTCGAGCCATGCAGACCAGAGATAGACCAGAAATAAACCAAAAATATACCGAAAATATACTAAAAATGTATCAAAAAGCTGAGCAATATTTAATGAGCACTGTCCTAACATAGTCGGATACTGTTATATCTGTGCTATTCTCTCAAATAACAATATTACTTGCTGTAAACGACAGCAAGTTTTTCCTGTATTTATGTTGAACAGTACTACGTTTAATCAGTCATCATTGTTTCCGATGAGGCAGAATTCTGGCAGTGTAACACGTTATCAGCACAGAATAAGAACATTATCATTGCAACAGCACATATCATATCAGTATCAGTTTATTGCAGACAGAAAACGTGATTTATTACAGTTGAAGGACAGTTTATTTCATAAAGTGGACCATTCTACTTTCATCAGTATTGCTACTATTTGCGAGGAACACCAGCGTTATGTTAAGCAGCATTATAAGGACCGTTTACAGAAGAAGTTTTCTTGGTTGTTGGAGAAATACTACCCTCCTACTCCTCCTCCTCCTCCATCCACTACTCAACCTGCTGACGACAGAGTCACTACTCTCAACATCGACAGTGTCTCCGAGCAGCAGAAGTCAGTTTTAGCTCTCGGACCTAACTTCGCCGTGTCTCCGCGAATTGACCAGTCATTCAAGGATAAAGTTGCCGTTGATATCGCTCAGTGTGTGTTTAAGATCAGACACAAACACGTACACGCTATCACTCAACGTGCCAACTCAGACACTAGTGCGGAAGTTAGTGCCCCGATTGAGCCCACCGAGGAGTCGAGTTCCAGCAAAGTGAGGAGATTGTGTCCCTTTCCCTCACCATTCACCAGTACACCTGACCCCACTCACCCGGTTTTAGAGGACAAGCTGGCACAGTTTAACCGCTTTGTACAGGACCTCGTGACTAACACCAACCCACAGGATAACCTCACTCGTTTTCAGAAAGATGGTTTACGCTCCCTTCTGACAGACAGGACGTTACACGTGTCGGTATCAGACAAGTGCGGTGAGTTTGTGGTGACAACTAAGGACACACATCGGCATCTAACAGAGAATCACCTCCAGGAGACAGCTGTGTACCAGCGTGTGCTTCCCACGAGAAAAATCAACGGTAAAACTGTCTCAGTAGCGGAACCCACCTCTCAACAGCTCACACAGCTCATCAAGAAGAAGACGGAGAACCTGGTGAAGGAGTCGAATAACCTGTGGAAGAAGATCTCATCACAGCGGAACCTTGACGACGACTACAAACGACGGATCAGAGTTCCTGACCATGTCAGCCTCCCAGTCATGTACGTCCAAATCAAGACCCACAAGAACCCTCCGGAGAGCTTCCGCTCGACGATCCCTCTTGAGCAGGTTAAGGTTAGACCCATCATCAGCTGCGTGGACTCACCTACAGAGAGACTCAGTTGGCTAGTGACGACCATTCTTAAACCTCTCCTTAATGAGGTGCCTAGTCACCTGAGTAATTTAATCCAGCACATAGAGATGCTCCGCCAGATCTCTCAGGAACAGCTTGCCAGGAGAAAGTTCTTTGCCGCGGATATTTCAGCTTTATACACTAACATAAACGTACAGGGCTGTATAGACGATGTCATTGAGCTAGCTACAGAGCACCGAGACAGTTTGGACCTGATGGGACTCAGCCTGACAGACATTCATGAGATCCTACTACACATCCTTACCAACTCTTTCTTTGTGTATAACAGGACTCTCTGGCTACAGCAGGATGGTCTGTTCATGGGTTTGAGGCCAGGGCCCTTCTGTGCCATCATTAGAGTGTACAAGTTCGAGAAGAACTCTATCTACACCGATCGACACTACCTATCGGTATACTTATCGAACTTCTACAAACGCTACATAGATGATGCTGCCAGTACTGCAGAGACGAAAGAAGAAGCCCTTGCTCTGGTTCAACAGATTGCAGACCAAGATCCGGACAAAAAGTTGAAGTGGGAGGTCGACTTTCCAGAACAACAGGACGATTTTATCCCCTTCCTGAACACTGAGGTCCGGATCGAGCCAAACGGTAAATTAACCAGCAGATTGTACCGCAAGCCGCAACAAAAGGATATTACCCTGCACAACAACTCTTGCCATCCTGAGTCTGTTAAGATTAATACAGTGAAGAACCTATATAGCGAGGCTTGCCGTATCTCATCTGGCCCAGCGGAAAAGGAGCACTCTCTCAGACTCCTTGATGATCTATTACAGAAAAACGGGTACCAGAACCCAAGACGTTATTGTAACAGTAGTAATTCTAACAGGCGTCAGAGTGTTGAGGATGATTCCAGGACAGTTCTTAATTTAGATTTTATTTCGGACAGTACTAGCAATAAGATTAGAAATTATGTAAAGCAGAACAATTTACCTATTAAAGTAAACTTTAAACCTACTTCGAAATTGAGAAATATTTTATGTAGTAACAGACCGTATGATAAACGTGTGTGCAGTATTAATTCATGTAAAATTTGTCCTTTGATAGTTTGTAATAAAGATTGTGAAGTGAAGAATGTTGTATATAAGATTAAGTGTAAATTATGTGACCAGCTGTACGTTGGAGAAACCAGTAGGAAAGTACATGCTCGTGTAGGAGAACACTTACGTTACGCTACCTACCCTGCTACCCCTTCTAATGTTAGTCAAGCTTTTGCCATACATTATTCGAGCTGTCATGAGGGGTTAAATCCCAGTTTAGAAGTAGATATTTTAAGAATTGAGCCCAATACTGTCAGAAGAAAGATTTTCGAAGCGATGTTTATTATTAATCTGAACCCTACAATTAACAAGAGAGAAAAACTGGATACTATTAAACGTTTTATCATAGCTAGTACTGAAGAATTTTAGATATTTTAGTTTCATTCCCTTTTTATTGCATACAGTTTCAGTTTTCTAGCAGTAGTAATTTTTAATGTTTTTTCACATCTCGCTCACAATCAGTAACCACTCACTATAATTTCACTCACATTGTGTATACACCATCTCACATGTATTGTATCTTTTACCTTATCATCTGTTATCACTTACATCTTATCATCTGTTATCACTGTACATGTCATTCCATCACACGATCACAATCACGTACTTGCTGTTTAGACTTAGTGGATGTTTTAAGTTTATTGAATAGCAGATCGAGTAGTGGTGTATATATATAGATTTTGATTCTAATTTTAGTCGAGTATTTGAACAATTTGTTGTCGTTTAGCCATTTTTGATTAATAAATTTTATGAGACAGTTTTCTCACATATTTACCAATTTTGTCAGCATGAATAAGAAGTTGTTACTTTGAAACGTCGTTTATCCTAACAGTGCAATATCATTTGTCGCAAATCAGAATAATCAGAAACTATTTGGAAAACCCAAAAACTGTCTAATATTACTAACGATACCTATAACTTGGGGCTCATCTGATGAATGAAGACGGCTGTGATAAATGAGTAGAGTTCCATACTTTCTACAAAGTTACCTTTCTGAAGCATTGTATGGTCATAGATTTTAGGATAAAAAAGAATGTGAGTAATTCCAGTTTCTTAGAGTTAGAACCCTAGGTTTTTTATAAGACGAAGATAAATCACTAATATAAAAGTTTATCAAATATGTATTATATACTAGGTATTAATATAGTAAGGTACTCATTTTGTGCTGCTAAACCTTCGAATTAAAATTAGAATTGTTGTGATAAATATTCCGCCCATCTAGTTTGACTTTACTGTGGGGAAATGAATCTTACCAAGATTTAAACATCCTGATTAAAATTGCATAAAGTCGCCAGTAGTGGTAAATTTCACAACCCCCAATATTTGCAGATAAAACGTACTCGTTGGTAAAAGTTCAGACTCAAAACACGGTTCAGCTGACGAAGCTAACAGAGGTTTTAAGCAGAGAAAAACAGCGCTCAGATGATTTGATTTACAAGTTGGTGCCAGCTGATATAGCTAAGAAACTGAAGAATCACATCACAGTTACACCTGAGATATTCGACTCTGTGTCAGGTATGGATGAGAGCTTTTGTCGGCCATTTTCAAGCCTACTTACTTCTCATGTAGGTGTATCTAATGATATCATTAGGGGGTTGGGACCGGGGGGGGGGGGGGGGGGCGAGAGTGTTGTCTTAGTTAAATTTTAAAAAGCAAATACCTCTTCTCTCTAACACCCCATTTTTCAGTTTTATACGCGGATATCGTTAACTTTACCCTGATCTCCAGCTACCACTCAGCCACAGAAGTCGTGAATCTTCTCAACTATCTATTCTGTTTAATCGACAAGCTCACGGACAAATATGACGCTTTTAAGGTACCATAATATGTTTCCCTAGACTTTCTCTAATTTCAACCACATATTTTGTAAGGTACCATAATGTGTTTCCCTAGACTTTCTCTAATTTCAACCACATAGTTTTGTAGATCATTCGCTATAAATATAATATCACCTTCAAATATAATATACACCTTCAAATTCTTAAGGTGGATATCAAGGATATCATAGCTCGAAATGCAGCTAAAATATACAATACAGCTTGAGCTAATTCTAATATTAAATATAGTTATTTTAGAGCAAATAGATATGAACGCTTGGAAGGTCAAAATAACATATGACTAAAAATGTTTTTACCCATTTTAGAGAGCTAGAAGGGTCAGTATGCACTATGCCATCGTTAACAATCCCCCAGAAATAACTGAATTCCAGATAAAATACTTCGCTGTTAAAACTGTTAAAAAAAACTGCTGCGACCATTAAATTTAATAGCACTTTAGGTATTATAGCCGTACAAATTGTCGTGGTTGTGTGTTTGAAATTGATCACGCATGCAAATACGTTTGTGCTTCACAGAACAATCTCGATCACCAGATAGCTACACGTGCACGTGGGTCACATTGTGCACGTGCACGTGGACCACATTATGCACGTGCACGTGCCTATTAATATTGCCACTTACTGACCCTAAGGACAACAGGCTGACACGGTGGGAGACGCCTACGTGGCAGTCACAGGTCTCCCGACCTGTGGCAGTAAAGCAACCAGTGAGAGTGTTACCAACATTGCTCACCTGGCACTCGACATGCTCGGACAGATTCAGAACCTGGACCACGAAAATGAGTCTATGTGTGAGGTAAGTCTGGTTATTTAAAATTTTTTATTCATTTGATTTTTTTAAATCTGGTCACTATTTAACTGTTAAACCCTAGTTCAGCATGTCCATGAGCTTTCTAACATGATATAATTATAAAGGAAGTGTTTAAGCTTCAATTTTACAGTACTTTGCAGATCCCAAGATGGTTAACTGGTTGATGGTATAATGAGCCATGAAATAGTCATGACCTTGATCAAATATTGCTCGACAACCGCAATTAATCAAAAGGAAACACTTGATAAAAAAGTCATGAATATTCTTGTTAAATGTAAAGGTGGTGCTTTAAAGTTCATGAAATAGGTAACGAAAACCAGACGGTAGTTTCGCTGTTTGCTGGTACTCGAGTCTCAGGTAGTTTGTCAAAAGAATGATAGGGAAGTTAAAGAACCACCCCGTATATAATCTCTGTAAATTGAGAAATGATTTTGGAGCATGTACAGAGGAAGTCAAGTACTAATTTATCAAAAAGAATTCGCACTGCAATAATTTGAACATATTTGCAAACCACAAGGCGTTCCAATTCCCCATTCACCATTGTCCATTTAACCAGTCTGAATATATCTATTAAACCTAGAATCTGAACAGTACATGTTCCAGAACTATAATATAAGGCAGAACTACAAAGCGTCGTCATAAAACATATGACTAGCATTTTATTAAAACACTTTTAATTCCAGTTCTGCTTCCGTGGCGTTTGATCTGAAATTCACATATATATTCAGACTAATAATAATGAAACTGCTGAAAGAATTGCTATGTTACCTGGGCAGTGGGCAAGGCAAATTCAGTACTAGAATTGACTTCTTTATCGGAGATTACGTGAAGACTGGAGGGCTTACAGTTCATGTAATGTCCGCCCAAATTAAAGTCCAGTTACCATGTAGTGTACGTCAAAAAAACATTTGCGTCCCTTATCATGTCCGTACATACAATGTCTGCTAAAAGGAGGTTTGTGATGATGCTAATATTCAGACCAATTAAGTAAACCAATCACACTATTAGTATTTATATCTCGTAGGTGAAGCTCAGAATTGGGTTGGCAACAGGACCAGTGTCTGTGGGTATGATAGGGATGAAGATTCCTAAATACTGTGTGTTTGGAGAGACGGTTAACCTCGCGACCGCTATGGAGGAAAGAAGTCAAGGTAATATCAATAAAACATTTTGATAAATTAATATCCTTTACTGTTGCCGGTTAGTTGCAAACTGAAACAGCAAAATTTAGTTTTTCTGATAAAATCAACCAATTGGAACGTTTGACGCTGTTTTAACTTTCATGCAAGAGGGCTGCAATTTGTTATTTCATACTATACACCAGTTGCGAATCTTTCGTTAACCAAGCTGATAACCTCCTGCACGAGCGTCCTGATTTGTATGGCACCCCGCAAAGTCATGTGACACGTGTTCAACTCCGGTCAGAGTGTGCACTTCGCGTGCACGAAAGGGATATGAAACGTGTAGCAACTTAAAGGGTCACGGTCATAACCTTAAGGCTTGACCTTTATCATCCAAAAAGTGTGCACGATTAACAATTTTTGTTGTTGATTTATCGTACAGTTTGGAGGAAGGGAAAATAGTTCGGTACCTAGATTGGGACTAATACTATTACGGTATTACGGTAAATCGGGCTTTTGAGTCCCGCGCCGTTGGATCACATCACACATATTATCTCCCCTATATAGTATATATTATGTATATACATTTCAGCTATGAGGATATTGATAACGAACTACACGAGGAATTTTCTGGCGGACACGGGAATCTTCGAGACACTCTTCAGGGGGCAGTTTAAGATAGTAAGTCGGTCATCTCAGTACAAAATAAACATCTCCGTTCAGCTAGCTATCATATGAGAGTGGAAATTTAAAGACCAACCTGCAGTTTATAATGGTTTTGTTAATCTAATCTCGGATAACATTAATGAAATCTCCATCCCAGATTAAAATTATCTAGTTTGTAGATTTTAAATTCGGTCTAAGAATCACTCGAACCTTTCTGTTACACTATCATGTTTTTGAACAAGTTTCGGAGTTAGACTTTAAATGTTTGGAATTCTTTAACCCTCATTTAACCGACTATCTTTTACCTCAGGAGGACACAATAATCGACACATATTGGCTGGTCGGATCCTCTCTCCTCGACAGCAGACTCGACATCTTCAGCGACAACAAACCCAAAAAGAGAGACGGAGTCCTGCAGCGTCGGATGAAGCAGCGAGAAATGGAGGTGCAGCCCCGGAGACGACCTTATGACTCCGCTAGTGCTGTCCCGAGCAAGGTTGCCTTCAAGGTGGAGCAGATACCCATCGCGACCACTAAAACAGAGGAAGTGGAGTCGGAAGAGGCGGCACCGGACGAACATGTGGTTGAAGAGGAGGAAGAAGGGGAAGAAAGTGAAGAGGGTGAAGAGGGTGAAGAGGGCGAAGAAAGGGAGAAAGGGAACAATATTTCAGAGGAGTTCACCTCCCTTACTAGCACTAGTTTCACAGTGAAGGATCATGATGCTAACAAGGCTGCTGAGAGTTTTACCGTGAAGGTGGGAGGGGAAGGAGGGTTGGATCCCGAGGGAGCTGGAGATTGGCAGACCCATCAATCTACTGGGCATGGAGTCAGCGAGGAAAGCTTGGTTCCGGTGTCTTAAACTATTGGACTCGTACTATAATTCTTAAAGTTATTCATTCGAGCTCAGCTAAGAGAAAAAAAAGGAAATTTGCAGAAAATTTGGACTCACAGCTAGAGCCCAAGAAACCTGTTGATATCGTCTTTAATGTTCTTGCAAACTGCCAAATATTATTGTAATTTGCTACTGTAATTTGCTACTGTTCACTGTTACAATAAACGATTTTCCGTATTTGGTATTGATATGCTGATTTTCCGGAATGACAGACTGTGCGGCGCCCAGAACGTTTCGACTTAAAACAAAAAACCCAAAAAAGAAACCAATTCAACATCAATCGCCATTGTAATTTTCAATGTTAATGTGACCTCTAATTTCACTTTTATTTCAATTTTTCTCGGTGATGGTATTTTTCAATAAAACTACTGTTCGTGCAATAAAATTAAAAACTATGATTATGAACATCCTTTATTAAATATTAATATTTGACATAGGCATTAAAATCAATAATATAGATACTCATCTTATTAAAAAATTTTTTTTTTCTTGGTTTAATATTTATCAGCCAATTAAAATTTTTTTATCTTGAAATTTATATTATCATTATTTTCTTTGATGTAAAAACTTTAAGTTTAACAATCAAATAAAGTCTCATGCATTTGGATCCAGTAGAAACTTCAGCAGGTATAACCCACCGCGATCCACTTCACGTTCCAACTGTTCGTGCAATAAAATTAAAAACTATGAACTAATTCCTTTATTAAACAGTAATATTTGACATAGGCATTAAAATCAATAATAATAATATAAATACTCATCTTATTAAAAAATTAATTTTTTTCTTGGTTTAATATTTATTAGCCGATTAAAAGTTTTTTATCTTAAAGTTTATATTATCATTCTTTTCTTTGATGTAAAAACTTTGAACTTAAAGTTTAACAATCAAATAAAGTCTCATGCATTTAGATCCAGTAGAAACATCAGCAGGTATAACCCACCGCGATCCACTCCACGTTCCAACCCATTTTATTCGCACCACCGCCTCTGCCATGTGGAGCCGCCAGGTAGATCCTAAAAGTGTCGGTAGTCACGCTGTAAATCTCCGAGCTCCCTGTCGTACTCCAATGAGACATGGTGCCCTCAAGAGAGGAAGTCACAGTTGGAATTGTCACGAACCCACACTTTCTGATGTCAACGTCTGTGTAGATTCCGTTCGAGCTGAAATCCACCCAGTTGGTTTCTCCCTTGACTGAGGTTCCAGCACACACTTTCGCACAGCGCTCCTCCCTCAGATCCTCCTCTCCGCTTATCACCATCACGTCATTCTTTCTGGCTCTGCAACGAGGAAGGTTTAAATTTACAATTTATCTACTTATAAATCAACTTTATTAATTATTGCAATAGTTAAACTCTCAGATAATTTTCCTCGTGAATTCAAAGAACCATATATTAAATATTAATATAACTACTGCTCTAAACTGTTTACTTACTTCAATTCGTTGATCTCGAATGTTAAACTGCGTAACCTCCCCTTCTTACCACCCTTCTTGCTTGAAGCGAGCACGATCGCTGCAGAGAACACCAACACCAATTTCAGGAAGGCCATAGTTCTGCTGAGGCATCAGAGAGTTGTAGTTAATTTTTGTTAAAAAAACGAAATAGTGACGGCACGATCTCGCTACGATCAACGTACATTTTATTTATGGTATCTCACTCAGTCTCACCCTCACAGGATGAGAGATATAGACGATTATTATTTATAATGAGAAGAAACTGCGGCCGATGAGATATAGAATTGAAACAGATTTAATTTCTAACCACATGGTCAACCACCGATCGAAACTTATAAGTACAACTAACATTTTTATGATCACGAATTATACAAATTCAAAACCGTCGGAAAAGGCCTTTTATTTGGGAAATCAGAACCATAAAAGCCATGACCATGACTTTGAAATTTAAATTTTGGACGAATATTTGACGAGGCAGCAAGAGAAATAGTTACCTGGGGACCCCATGCTATTATGTTCATAAGGGGTAGTCCGTCGTTCACATATTACGTAATCATTTTTTGGAACCTTTTTTTGATTTCATTAATCATTAATATTAGGAGGTAATTTCAACGATTTCGAAATTTTGCTTTTAAAAACATTTCCTTGTGTTTAGGTAAGCATATCTGTCGATCACTGTCTGGATATGCCACTTTTTACTAATTCAAGTTGGCATTAAATTCATATATAATGCCATTTATAACTATTGTTTTTTATAACTATTGTGGGAAAGCAGAATCTAATCGAAATCACAAATGAGCAAAGAATTGTGAAAATAGCAGTTTTCAGTGATTTTAGCAATTTTCTATCAATTTGGGTGTGTCCCCACGTGTACAACTTTATTTTCAACTTTTGATTTAACCTAATGCACAATATAAACCTATACTTATAGAAATCAGAACCGAGCTCCACGACCCAAGGGATGGCCCAACACCGGTAAATACTAAATCACAAAATGGATATTTTTATAAAAGTGTTCTTCAAAAAAGGACTAACTTTAATTAAATTTAAATAGAAAATATCTTTATATTATTATTATGAAGGAGAAAACTAAGAAAACTTCCTGGCAAATTTTCAGAATACTTGAAAAATTAAATATGACCTCAAAATTTGAATAAAATTACGCATTAATGGTGCAAAATCGATTTGAAAAGTTGCTAGTGTTACTTTGTCAAAAATAAAGTTTTTAAAACGGTTAACTTGATGACGTCATCAAGTGGTGATAATGACGTTAAATTATTTTGTTACATAATGTAAACTAAAGTCTAAACGACTATCTTCAAGACCTGTGATCCGAGAGGGCTGTATCTTTAAAGCTTTTGAATCCACGGACACTTGAATGTAGGCTACAATTGACTACCAAAGCGTCTATACTCTATATAATATTTATATAAATATACTTCACGACAATCTGTTGTAAAACAGGGGTTCCAGAAAACCCACTTCCCACTAACTCAATTTTAATATGTTTTTTAAGGCACCTGAATAAAGAATTTGGCGATTTTGGGTTTTTGTTACCGAATTTCGTATAACACTAACACTTAACACTAACAGTGCTGGCGCGTATTTGGCGCAAATTTCTTAAAAACCTCCACATAACTATTTCTCATTTCTTTCATCTTTGACATTGAATCAGAATGTTTTGAACATAAAATATGCCTGCTGAACGAATTTCGATGAGTCTTAATGCCTGGAAAAACAGTAAAGGGGTATAATAGAATATAGGGTAAATTAAAATAGTATAGTGAGTATAACTATAATGGCGGCGGTCGTGCTTGCCAGCACACAGCACAGTGCACAATGATATTAGTACTTCGGCGAACTGAACTCTGTTGATCAACTGTTTAAATCAGTCGCATACTAATTTTCCCTACCTACGCCCGTCAGCATCTTTATACGAAAAACTTATTAATCGTACTGATCAACTCTCAAAGTCAAGTGTCAAGGCGTACTCAAAAGGTGAAAACTGAAAAGTCGAAAATAAGTTCAAAGTTAAGTAATATATTGGAAATGATATGGTTTATTAAGTATAGCTGTGGTCAGTTTTACTACCGCCCTCATTAGATACAAATTTAACGTGCGTCAGGGCAATTGTTTCATATTCTAGCTCAAACTTGGCTCTCCTCCAAAGTTTTATATATGTTGGTTTTGTACCCGTTAACTCTTAATAACTTTCACGTCTTTGTTTTTCGGAGTCGGTCGATACTTTCCCCCATGATCATCTCACCATGTTATTGTGTAACAACTAATTATATCCATTCATTGGTCTCGACGTGATGAGGGACAGTCTACACTGTCACTTATAGTTATACTGATAGCTTCAAAAGTTTGAGCTGGAATATTTAACAATTGAGTTGTGGTTATGGGAGCGTTCGCATATTATGACGTCAGTACTCAGTAGCCGAGGTTGGAGGGGAGAGGGGCGGGTTTGGAAATGCTGGACGGGGGAGGGGGTCTGAGCCTTGCTGACGTCAGCAGAAATGAATTTCTGTCATTTGCTAACAGAATTTGAACAGGATGTTTTGATTAGTAAATGGTATTTTTCAATAAAACTACTGTTCGTGCAATAAAATTTAAAACTACTGTAAACATCTTTTATTAAACATTAATATTTTCATTAAAATCAATAATATAGATACTCATCTTATTAAAAAATTAATTTTTTTCTTGGTTTAATAATATTTATCAGCTGATTTTTATTTTTAAATTTGTATTATCATTCTTTTCTTTGATGTAAAAACTTTAAATAAAAGTTTAACAATAAAATAAAGTCTCATGCATTTGGATCCAGTACTAGTAGAAACATCAGCAGGTATAACCCACCGCGATCCACTCCACGTTCCAACCCATTTTATTCGCACCACCGCCTCTGCCACTTTGAGCCACCAGGTAGATCCTAAAAGTTCCGGTAGTCACACTATAAATCTCCGAGCTCCCTGTCGTAGTCCAATGAGAGGTGGTGCCCTCAAGAGAGGAAGTCACAGTTGGAATTGTCACGAACCCACACTTGCTGATGTCAACGTCTGCGTAGATTCCGTTCGAGCTGTAATCCACCCAGTTGGTTGCTCCCCTGACTGAGGTTCCAGCACACACTTTCGCACAGCGCTCCTCCCTCAGATTCTCCTCTCCGCTTACCACCATCACGTCATTCTTTCTGGCTCTGCGACGAGGAAGGTTTAAATTTGCAAGTTATCTACTTATAGATCAACTTTATTAATTATTGCAACAGTTAAACTCTTTGAGAGTTTTCCTCGTGAATTCAAAGAACCATATTAAATTTATAACTACTGCTATAAGTATAAACTGTTAGTGTTTACTTACTTCAATTCCTCGGCAAATGTTTCTTTCAGTGCTTCAATTTCCTTTACTAATTTTTCCTTGATCCCTGTTTGTTCTTCGTCTTTCTGCCCCAGACTTTCGATTTTACTTTTCAAGTCGTTGATCTCTTCTTTTCCTTCGTCCACACTGGCTCTGCGACGAGGAAGGTTTAAATTTACAAGTTATCTACTTATAAATCAACTTTATTAGCTATTGCGACAGTTAAACTCTCAGAGAATTTTCCTCGTGAATTCAAAGAACCATATACAACTACAGCTATAAACTGTTTACTTACTTCAATTCCTCGGCACATGTTTCTTTCAGTGCTTCAATTTCCTTCACTAATTTCTCCTCGAGTTCCTCGATCCCTGTCTGTTCTTCGTCTTTCTGCCCCAGACTTTCAATCTTACTTTTCAAATCCTTGATCTCTTCTTTTGCTTCGTCCACGAAGTTTGTGATTTCACTGATACTCTTTGTCTGCTGTTCGACTACAGCTGTTAAAGATATAGTCGTCTGCATAGAAGACACCAGCAGTTCACGCAACTCCTCAACAGAAACTGCGGAACCCCCCTTCTTGCTTGAAGCGAGCACGATCGCTACTGCAGAGAACACCATCAATTTCAGGAAGGCCATAGTTCTGCTGAAGCATCAGAAAGTTGTGGTTAATTTTTGTTAGATTAAAAACGGAATAGTCACGGCATCTCGCTACAATCAACGCACGTATTGACATTGTTTACGGCATCTCAGTCTCACACTCACAGGATGAAAGATTATTTATGATGAGGAGAAACTGCGGCTGATGAGATATAGAATTTGAAACCAAATAGACATAATTTCTGAGTTCAGACCACATGGACAACCAACGATCGAAACTCATAGGTCAACTTTTTTGGCCTCATTTGGCCTATCCTGTCTAACTGCACGATAGTCCCCCCTTGTAGTACAAATTTACATTCCTCATTGCTAGAATTCAAATTTCATTCCTTAAAACAAATTTTCCAAAAATTGGTCCAGATTCTCCCTCCTTGCACCCTTTTTGAGAGTGAGACCTATAAGTATAATTACTGTAAGCATATCTTTCAAATTTGCAGGACTTTATCCTTTGACCCTTAAATTGGCACAAAAATTTTGCTGGATTTATCATTTCACATTGCTAGATTTCAATTCTGGAAGTAAATTTCCTGAAATTGCATCCCTTTTTCGAACTACACTTATTTTGCAAAAGGTGCTTGCAGGCCCTAATACAACAACAAGATACAAGGGCAGGTCTCTCCCGAACGTTGGGATGGCCTGAGGTGCTTATCTCCTTTTCAGTAACCCTAAGCCACTCTGTGCTGAGGCACTATACTAGCTGTAGGGGGGTTAGTCCTACGAGCCAGAGAGTGTGTATCACCAGCCGAAGCTGTACCAAATCACAGCTTGGTAACTGGCCGACTTGCATCCGACCGGATTTGAACCCGGGTCTTCTGCTTGGGAGGCGATCGTGTTACCACTACACCACCCGGTCGCAGGCCCTAATATGCATTTATAATCGTATTATTTGAATTGCTCAGCTAGGCCTTTTGCACGTGAAAAATTATCAAACAAATTTCGCAATTATAAAAAAAATTTTTATAGTATCCATCTGCCAAAAAAATGTTATCAATTTCCAGCCTTCGCTAAGGTCATCCTGCCGTAAACTTAAAATTGTTTGCAGGCATGGTATGGTTAAAACTGAACTTTTTACTGCTTTTAAAATTCAGGCTGTAGCACACGTGTGCTAAATTTTAAAAACTCATAAGATTTTGGCCCCCTTGGGAAGAAAATCATTCCTACACCCCTGTCATAAGTACAACTAATATTTCTATGATCAAGAATTATACGAATTCAAAACCGCGTCGGAAAAGGCCTTTGGAAAATTAGAACCACAGATTAAGCCATGACCATGTTCACTCTGAAATTTAGATTTTGGACGAATATTTGACGAGGCAGCAAGAGAAATAGTGGCTATCTGAATCAAACTTCTCTTGTTATATCCCATAACTGTTATCGTTTGCCTCATGAAAACACGTAGCGTAATTTTTAACTACGTCAAGTTCAACCAGTATGACTACGAGTATAACTCCCATCATGAGAAAAGTTGTAACAAATTAATGTCATATATTAACTGACAAACTTTGGTCACAGTTATGATTTACAAATTTAGTAACAGTATAGCAAAGTTAATATTTTAATTCGCAACTGTCATTTTATTAATAATGCAATGATGAAGCTGAGGCATTGCATTAATAAAATGACAGTTGCGAATTAAAATATGAACTCGTTACGCTCAACGCACGTATAATTGTTTACGGTATCTCAGTCTCACACTCACAGGATGAAAGATATCATCATAGGATGCGTCTTCCTCTCCAAAGATAGTGGAAACCTGTTGACTTAAGCTCCACTTAATCTTGTTGATGGATAAGTTTGACTAAATTCTAAATAAAATAACTGAAACCGCATGAAACTTCGAAACTGTTCATGTTGGCCGACGCCGTCACCTTTAATATCTTTTTGTTTTCCGATAATAATGTATGTACTCGTAGTCGTATACAATTTCCGCTAGTTCGAGTTAAATTATAATTAAATAAACCAAGCGAAGAGAGTAGAGAGATGGAAGTAAGTTATATTAACCTACGGGCCGTAGGTACGGCCAGTGGCGTAACGAAGGGCCCCGCCGACCGCTCCTACTAAATCGCTCGCCCAAATTTTAATGTTTAAGAAACTGTTTTGTACGGCTGTAAAACCATAAAAACCAAAGTCACGTGAAATTTTTGGGCGAGCGAATTACTAAAAGCCCCCGCCGACCCCGCTCTGCGGGGGGATGGGGGGTTTGGCTGTTGACTTAAGCTCCACTTAATCTTGTTGATGGATAAGTTTGACTAAATTCTAAATAAAATAAATGAAACCGCATGAAACTTTGAAACTCTATAACTTCGGAAAACATGACAATTTAAGTCCGCAGACGCTTTTATTTTGATATTAAATATTAAGTGTGTTACTGTTACTCTGCAGTATACTTCACACTTTATAAAGTGTGTATTACTGTACTCTACAGTGGACAAATAATTTGAGCGCTATAAACTTTGAAATATAATGTATAAGTAAAATTGTATAAATGAAGGAATACTGGATGGAATTTGAACTGGACAGGAAATAAATCACATCTTAAAAACCACCTCAATGGTAACTAGTAACCTGTGTCACTCACACTGACCTTACTAATACTGGTTGGTCACAGGTTACAAATTTAGTACAAAATGTGAAATTTCGATTGAGGAAACGGCAGAAAAGTATTTACCGTACCTCTGTCCTACCACTAAGCACACACAAACAACCAAACTTGAAAGCTACTTTGTGAGTGACTTCACCGCCGGCCAGCTATTGTCATGTATCACGTCGTGACCCCCATTGCCGTTTTACTATGGGCCATGCGAAGCACTGATATGGGCCGCGCCACGCATCAAATAATAATGTGGTCGCGAGAAGATGCGCGGTGCGGCCCAGTTAAATAGTACATTGCATCGCGCTACAACTCGCAAAATATTTGTTTCAAATATTGACTGTGGACTGAAATGTAATTCACATGTAATGCATGCGCTGCATGATCAATGATCAATGTTGGAATTATATGAAAGAATAAGGTTGAAGAGGGCGTCACTGTAGTGTTACGTTAATGTTTAATCATGCGTCTTGGTAAGTTATAAACATACATGATACAATATCCATTTTATAACTTTGGTCATGCAGCATGGTCTTACCTGGGGACCCCAAGCTATTATGTTCATAAACATATTATAGAGATTCGGCGGAATGACAGGTTGAGTGCCGCCCAGTAAAGCATAGTCCTGAGCCTCCTAATGTCTTGTACATGTATTCAAGAAGATCTAGATGAGAGGTTCAAGTGAGATGATTTCACCTAACCATGTGCTTTCGCGCCACTTCGGGCGCGCCGTGAGGCGGGCGCGCGCTACTGCAAGCGCAAGGGCTCTGGATAGAGCAATGAGATGATGATTAATCATGCTTTCGCTCCTCATAAATCGCTCACCCAAATTTTAAGAAAATTCTTGTGAAAAGGCCCTTTGGGCATGAAAGTGATATAAATCAATGTATTTTTGGACGCTGATTCCGAATCACCCCCCCCCATGACGTAAGTAAAGGTAAAAATGCTTCCTTGGAGAGTTTTGGCCAAAAAACCGTTTTGGTCACGTGACAGGCTAGTAAAATACGAATTCGATTGTTTAAGGCTCGGGTTAGGGTTAGGGTTGTATTGTGGTAAAAGTAAAGTAAAGTAAAGTACAATTTATGACATCACATCATCACACATGTTTACAAACTATCATTGCACTGTGTGAAAAAATATATAATAAATATTTCCCCACCAACATTAATTAATTATCAAATACAATATTTAAAAACAATTTCATCAAAAACATTATCCTATTTTAAAAACTTCCCAGTGGAATAAAGATTTATAAAGGGTTATGGTTAGCTTCGGGGTTATGGTTAGGGTTAGGGTTGGGATTAGGGTTTATGTAAAACCGTTTTGTACGGCTGCAAAACCATAAAAACCAAAGTCACGTGAAATTTTTGGGCGAGTGAATTACTAAAAGCCAATCACTTTACACTCGACTGTCAAGTAATTTTTTCAATCCGTCCTCTGGCTAGCTGACCCTGAATAACTATTTTGTGTTCGAAATCCTAACCCTCTAAACGGGTGATACTCGTAAAATATTTGTTTCAAATATTAGAGACCTTCGACGAGTCCCACTTGGCGCGCGTCTTTACTTGTAGTAGAGGCTCTTACGGGCATTGTCTGCTCGATACGCTAAGGACCCCAGATACACCTTACTAGACGTATTTTTGACCGTAGAATCGATTAAAAGTGGTTTTAAGATGATTGGACTGACTTTTTGGGGGTAAAATTGCAAAAAACCGATTTTTGGGCCAAAAATAGGCCAAAAAACCATGTTTTTTGATATTTTGAACAAGTTAATTTTGTTGGCATGTCGCCAAAACTTGCATGGAGATAGCTATAACACAGCCGCACAAGATGATATAAAAATTTGAAAAATCCCTCTATTTTTTTGGGGGTAAAAATCCAAAAAAGTGGTAAAAATTTTAACTTTTTTGCTTGAAGTTTGAATATTTTTTTGCAGTTGTATTAAATCAATCCAAAAATAGTCACATAGTGTTTGCCTAAATGTTTCCTTTCCGAGAAGTACCCACTTCATATACTTTATCGAAGTTTGAATATTGTCACTCCGCAAGCGTTTTTGCCAAATTTTCGACGCGCACTACGCGCAAAAGCATTTAGTTGTTATCAATTGGCACCCGCGCGTTCATCATTAATTTCAAACAGCTATAACTCAGCGAGATTATGTCTGTTCTAGCTCATATTTTCACACCAAATAGAAAATAATGTGATCTTATTGCTGACAAAATATGAATATAATTACTCTATTTGCCTTAGAGTAATAGACTGTCAAAGTTTAAAACGCGCATTGGTATAGCACGTGACTAATAAGGCCAAATTTATACTTCTTAACATATTATCGATCCTTAGACATCATACTATTGTGTCCAATTAGCGGTTAGGTCCCTAAACTCGTAGCAGAAAACACGTCTTTTTGCCCGTAAGAGCCTCTACTATTGGTAAGTTATAGACCTACAAAACCCAACCCTAACCCAATCCCTAAAAGCATATACTGAAACTCTAAGCCTAACGAGAAATTAGACTAACTTCTTTATCATTTATACGGTCATATCACGTGATCGATACAGGTTTTCGTCAATATCTTGCCAGGGGAGCATTTTGTCACGTTGATTCGAAATCAGCATCCGAAAATACATCGATTCGAGTTGGTTTCAACTGTCGGGGGCCCTTGTTGCTTGTTGAAAAATGTCGAAGATAGAGTGTTGAGCGATTAAGCACGCTCGGTTCAAGTGATCTTTTTAGAATTTCCAGTACCTTATCTTTTCTCCTTCTCGAATACAGTGCACGAAGATTGACAATGACATCTAAGGCGGCAAATGGATGAGTCATCGAAGAAAATTCTGGAGGAAATGGAGGTTTCATCCAAACGTCTGAGCACTCAGCTTCTTTTCTGAGACTTGCCATGGTATTTTCTCGAGAGTTGATGTTGTTGAGTAAATTTGTCTGATGACGAAGAACTGGAGGGACGAAGGACGAAGGCTACATTTACAACTATTTATCAAAATTATATGAGTAGCTACTGCACTTAGAAACTACATACAGTGAAAAGCTATTTCATTGTGAAGTATAGAGTTAGATCATGCATGTGCTCATTCCAGCCCTCCTCGGTCGCCCAGTCAATCAGCACGAGGGAGGTATCTTTGAACTCCCTGTTCGATGTGGAGGCCTAGCTATCACCAATCCCGTCAGGATAGCATCTCGTGAATATGCATACTTAGTGGCACTCACTAAAGATCTTGTGAGTTTAATCAACCAACAAAACTAGGATATCACCTTTTTTGAAAAAAAAAGAACTGAGGAAACAGATGAATAGTTTCTATCCCCAAGGTCATAGGCGGCTCGTGGGACCAGACTTTTGGTTTACTTAGGTGTCCGGTCGAAGGACTGAGGGGGTTTGGGGGGCCTGGCCCTCTCCGATAGCGAAGCCGGGCAATTTTTAACCCTGAAAACCCCTTGAGAAAAGCTCCTTTTTTTATACATTATGATTACAGAGGATCTGATATTTAGATATATATTGCTGTGCTGTAAAAATTGACTTTATTTATTTATTTATTTTACCCCTCAGAAGGGCATAGAAATGCATAAAATTACTTTTCTCCAGTTCTTGCATTAAAGTTAATTGCCTTATTTTGAGCTTGTGAAGTTAAATGTTTTACGTTCTACATTTTTTGCCGGACCTAATTCTAATTAAATAGTTTATAGTACAGCGAAGTTCACCGGGTTAACTCCTGGTGATCGGCTGAATGACTTCATATTTCAGATTTCTGTTTTGGTAAGCACTATGATGATGTTATTGTGTAGAATAAGCTGTTCAGAAAGTAATACATCTCTGCTCTAAAGCTTTTCACGTTAAGTTCTTACTACATAGTACATACCACTGATTTAACTGGTCGAAACATGACGTGACGTACGTAGGTGCGCGCGCATTTTACTAGCTGTCAAAAAATTAACTTTATTAACTTTAAGTTATTTGCGCGCAACGCCACTGCATAATGACCTACACATGTGTGAAATCATTTTACACAATGTCTTATGAAATTTAATAACCGATAATAAATAATGCATACACTAACGAATAATTAAGTATTAACTAACAAGTAACAAACTACAAAGTTAAAAGAAAAATTAAAGTGTACACCGATATTTTAAGAACACAGGTCACAGAACGAGACAAAACAATCAAACCGGGTTTGGCTTTCCGCTTTTGTATGTCAGTGTTAGCCTAGCTTCTTGGCAAAGGTTCAAGATGCTTTATAATGGGTCAGATCATCTTCTTAAGAACCACTTAAGCCAAGCAAGAGAGAAGGGAGCATCAACTTGCATTACCTCTAACGGACCTCAACTCTGTTCTAAACAAGCAAGAGTTCCAAGACAGCATACGCCTACTCTATGGTTGAAAGATCCAAGGAGTGCCCTCTAAATGTGCCTGCGGAAATGTGAACAGTGTCTACCATGCCCTTGATTGTAAATTAGGTGGATATGTTTCCATGTGCCATAATGCCATAAGAGACACTCTTCCTTCAACAAGCCAAGTGTAAGGATAGAACCTGCACTCCTGCCTGTCCAACCAACTTCATTCTCCAGGAAGACCAACACCCAGGCTAGGATGAAGCTTCAGTCAGAGAAAGGGTCCTTTGTCCCACTAGTCTTTACAACATCTGGAGGTATGGGACCAGTACCACTCTGCACTGTGTTGTTTTCTTGATGATAGCTGACCACAATAAAGAAGCTAAGAGCCCTGCCAGGTCAAAAACCACATCAGAACACGATTCAGGTTTGATCTGCTACGAAGCACACTTCTAGCACTCAGGGGAACAGAGGAAGACAAAAATCCTGACATATCTCATACCTCAGAAGACAATCTTCGAGGTCTCTTAGACTTAAGTTTGTTTATGTAAATTTTATAGATAATTTATTGTAGCTTTTATATTGTGTAAAATTTTACGGACGAAATGATCCCAGGGGGGGCTCCCAACCCACCGCTTCGGCAGGTAGTTGAAAAATTAAATATTGTGACCCAAGGAGTAAGAACTTAAGGTCCTAAAATTTTGACCCCCAAGTGGTGTCAAAATCACTTAATGAATAAATAGATATTGCTATATCTTGACATCATTTTAGGGTAAAACGGGTTCCTGCTAGAATATAATGTGCTAGTATATAATAATTAATTGAATTTTCAAATTAAAAAATGGTTTTGTTTGATGGAACTGTATTTTTATCTTCAAAGGAAGCATCTGAGACAGATAATCAACACCTATTGGCCTACGGTTATCAGCAACGAGAATTTATATAAGAGATGTAATGTCAGACCCCTTACTGAAAGGATCAAGAAAGCAAGATGGAAGATGCTTGGGCACGTTCTCAGAAGCGGTGATGACACTCCCGCCTTCTTATCTTTCAGATTTGCATGTTTAGGATGTTTTGACTACAAAGGAAGGAGGGGCAGACCTCGTTCAAATTTATTTGATTTATTATTAAAAGACATTATGACTAAACAAATTATTGTGATTGTAAATAAAAGATTTAGTTTAAGTAATTTCAACGATTTAGTGTACAAAGCTCATGATAGACGCCTTTGGAGAAGTTATGGGTGAGTCGAGACTACTCGGCCACTCGATTTTATGATTTAATTTATATTATCTTGTGTTTGCTGTATATAGTTGATTAATAAATAATAATAATAATAATATAATATTATGTTATGAGTGCATGTGCACTATGTTTTTAAATTGATTGGACCATATTTTCCAGGTACAAATTGTTTGCATTATATATTTGGAAACCCCCGTCTTATAACTTACATAATTTAATATATTTAGAGAACATGTTTCTTTGCTCATTGTCATATTATACTATCCTTTTTTTTCATTCAAAAACTGTTCAAATTTATATATTTAAACTGAAAACAAAGATTTACAAAGTTAAATTTTCATTCAGGAAGTAATGTGATAGCATGCTCATTAAAAGCATCATTATATTTGCTGGGATACTACAAGTTGTGACCTCCGAAACTTGTGCCGAAAACACGTGCTACGGACGTGGAGACTGTTACCCTCAACAGGCAGATCAGATAGTTTGCGTGTGCCGAGACGAATTTACCGGTGAGAGGTGTCAGTACCACAAGGTTGATTGTTCAAGGGCCGGTTGTAACCGTGGAACCTGTATAGACGATCACTGCATTTGTTCTGGTGATTATGCTGGCCCATTCTGTGAATATGCTAATCATTGCAGAGAAAATCCATGTAGAGATCACGGTAAATGCATCTCTCTGATGGATGACTTTGAGTGCCTCTGTGATAAGGGCTATACAAGCAACAACTGTGAAAATGACATAAATGAATGCACTCAAAACCCAGACATTTGTCAGAATGGAGGAACCTGTATAAACACTGTGGGCTCGTTTCACTGCAAATGTGAATCTGGTTATGATGGTCAGCTGTGCGGATTTACTGTCAACATGTGTGACCCGAATCCTTGTCAAAATGAAGGCAACTGCGTTAACGACAAAGACAGTAGCAGCGGTTTCAGATGTGAATGCCCTCGCTGTAAGTACATTTAAAGTTAATGGCATCATTGTAACAGATTTGTTGATGAATTTGCACACTCACTGCTCACTCACTTCAGACAATCTGTAAAGGTTTCTTAAACTGATAAATTTGCAGTGATAAGCCTCAAAACTGAATTGTTTCCAAAGCTGTAAATCTCATTACCTTACGATGATTACCCCCGAGCCCTTACAAAATACTGTACCATGGGCGATGTTATCATAGCGTCAACAGGAGACTTAAATTTAATGACTAATGTCTAGTTTCGTGATAATTTATCTGATATCTTTATTGCATTAAAAACACGTTTGTAAGCTCTCCAAATAAAGTATAGGGTGTACATTTCAACTTGAAATTGAAGCCCCCTGATAAATACAAACTGTACTTACTATTAATTAATCTCCTGAAGTCAACTCTCTTCTCTCTCCTTTCTTAACGTTTACAATTTACGGGACTGTCTAGCGTTTTCCTGATTACATTGTACACACAATGAAACCTAAACCACGTTTTCCTCCATTCCCTCAACCTGCCAATTACTCCACCGCCTGTCAACCACATGATTCTGCCACCCAATCAGAGTTCCCTGTTCTGCTCACGTGACCCACCTGAAGAAGACATATTAGGAAGTAACGTTGGTCTACGGGACACTTCTGTCAATTTATAATCATTACAACCATTAATTGTTTTATTCATTACTCAGTCCCTTCTGATGAACTACAATATGTGTACAAGTTGAAGAAGGACTGTGAGAAGAATCCTGACAACGTTTGTGGTTGGCTGGAATTTGTCACACGTGCAACATGTGCTTATCCAGATTGGTCGGGGTATTCTTGAGTACGTAAGCCTTGCAGATAGTAGCATTGCAAGTGATAATTAATGGTGTGAAAAAAATTACCCTTCTTTAAGGGGGCAGGGGGGGGTCCTCATGGAAATTTTCTCAAAATTGATTTTTTAGTTGTTTCTAATAGAGGGGAGTGATGTCTATCAGATGCTTTTAATCCCATAGAAAAATATTGTTCCTAGCCGAAATTATTGCCGGTCAAAGGTCAGCGCTTGTGTGTAATTGTATTGCGCAAGGGATTTTTGATCGCGCGTCCTGAAAATCGACTCTAAAAATCTATCTTCTCCTACATTTTTTGAGCAATCACTCTGAAACTTTTAGGATATGTTCTAGGGACCATTTAGAAGAGATAAGCCGGATGGAATTTTAAGATGGGCCTTTAAAAATTTTTTATTCGATTTTGAAAATCTTGGACCTCGTTTTGTGATGATTTTTCGAGGTCCAAGATTTTCAAAATCAAATAAAAAATTTTTAAAGGCCTATCTCAAAATTCCATCCGGCTTATCTCTTCTAAATGGTCCCTAGAACATATCCTGAAAGTTTCAGAGTGATTGCTCAAAAAATGTAGGAGAAGATAGATTTTTAGAGTCGATTTTCAGGACACGCGATCAAAAATCCCTTGCGCAATACAATTACACACAAGCGCTGACCTTTGACCGGCAATAATTTCGGCTAGGAACAATATTTTTCTATGGGATTAAAAGCATCTGATAGACATCACTCCCCTCTATTAGAAACAACTAAAAAATCGATTTTGAGAAAATTTCCATGAGGACCCCCCCCCCTGCCCCCTTAAGGATGATCGCAACTGAGCCTAGTTCATAGCGGACATGCAGTAGGACTTGACCTAGTTTGCGGTACCAAAAAGGAGCTCTTGTACACAATTTTAATTTAGCGGTAATTGATTTGAGGTCATTTAACCATCGTCTGCTGAAATTTTCTTTGACGCAAAAATCTAGGGTAATTAGCAACGGTAGGATTATCAAATTGCAGTTTATTTGACAAACCTTCAATCTTTTATCGATGAAATGACTCTGAGATTACCCGCTATTAAATCAAAAAGCTATTGTACAATGTAAAGATTTTAGTAACGACCTGTTATTTCCATCACGATAAAGCACCTTATATGTTATTGAGTAAGTACTAGGAATCTCATAAACTTCTTAAATCCGAACATTTTGATAGGACCTATTGGCTACGTTAGTACACATGTCAAATCAGCCTTTGATAATCGTCGTATAAAGAGAGGGATAAAGGTACTATTTGTATTGGGTGTCCGTGACAAGCAAGGCAGTCCACAGCTCAGTTGACAGTCATGTGACAAGTACTCCTTCCGTTAGCTGTCATCCTGCACTAGGCGCTATATCTCTATACTATTACTGTAGCAGTAGAGAGATCTGCAGGTTCGACCTTCGCATTGATGATTCCTGTATTGTGGGTTCAGTCGAGGAGAGACTCTCTCAACTCTCTCCTCTACTTTACACCGAGTGTACTCTGTTGACTTAGTGAAGCTGCTTGATTCTTACTTCTAACCCCTCCAATCTAAGATATACTGATGTCATGGTATCTCATATTATAAACTGTCACGTCTTGCTGCCCATGTTTGCGTTATATAACGTGTAATACTAAAACAAACCAGAAGTACGAGACAGGTGGCACCAGAAGTACCAACCATATTCACACTTCTAATTATTCGAAGGTCAAATGAGTCAATTCCCTATCAACTGACCTATAAATCCGGTTTTAACAGATATAAATAAGTCAAGAATAACATTTTTGTTGAGGTTTGCACCGCGCTTCTAACACAGCTCTCCCATCAAGGCTAAGCCTTGACGTAAGCCCTACAGTTGAAGCTAGTTACACAATTGTCCCGGAACCGGCCCCCAGATAGTAGTGGTAGTACTGGGGTTAAAACAGGGGTTAAAACTTTATGACGGGGGTGATCCAATATTTAGTCTGTACTCTGAAGTTGATGATGTTTGGTGCAACCACAGCTCTTTGAGGGCTGACAAACTGGGGGACTGTGGGAATTCTCGACCATCTGAGCAGGAGCTGATCTCTCAGTAGGTTGTCTCTCTTGTCAGGGGACAGTTACTGCCCTTTCAACAGTTGTATTAGTCGGCGCATTAATTATGAGGGATATTATATCTCTCTGCTAATGGTTCAGAGATATCTCTGATAGTTCTGCTGATTTGTAATCTTTACGTTTTGTGGTTACACCCTTTTGGTTTGTCAGTTAGGCCCAATTGCGTCTCTATCTGGCTCTTATCTTTCAATTTTCACTACAAAATCAGACTTTTTGATCCAATTTAATCGGAGTAGAATCTGTAAGTAGCTGTATTATTATCCAAGGCTCACACGTGTTTGGACAGAAAGCTATATTCGTGTTATGTACAGCATAAAATTATATAAATTGATCTCGAAAGTAAACGTCTTACTCAACAATTAAATGTGTGCGCTGCTGCCACTTGTGCATTAAAATATTCAGGAAATAATATTATGTTTTTTTTGTGTGTGTGAAAAAACGTTTTGTTTGTTCGGCAAAACATTTGTTGCCGAGTACCTATGAAACGGCCTCTCTTTGACTTTTTCATTTGACAAAAGAATGTTCTAAAAGATGTTCTTATTAAAAATGTTGCCGTTTTAGCTGTCTACAGGTTGGAGTGCACTGTATAACAGTGGTTAGCAAGGAGACTTAAAGGACAATATAACACCTTCATTGTGGTTTGTGTTGGCCAACTATTATAACGGGGACCAACAGTTCTACTCTGACATTATCTCATGTATTCAGTGACTCTAAATCATTATCTGGATATTCCGAGTACTTTACAAACGTCACATCTCGTAATACACACTGTCAAGTATCAGATATCAGTCAGTGTAATGGTATTTAATATGTGATCTGATAATTAATTTAATGTGTAATTAATTAATTTTCATTTTCTGATCGATTAGTTAATACACCGTCTCAACTCCAGCTCCAACTTCATGTTTGCTCCACTGTTCTGGGACATATAAACCCCTGGACCGTAAAACAACCGTTTTTTCCAGAAACGTAAACCGAGTGCAATGTGCGTGTCACACACAGTCCCTGCTCTTGAACACCTCGCACAAACCCACCAATAGCCGGCCCCAACCCTCCCACCTGACTTCCTCGCAGCCAATCACCGGACGGGAACTACACCACGTGACCTTTCCACGACCCCTGAGGGTTATGTGTATAACCTGGCGGCGGTGTAATGTAATTAATTAGATCTGTAAGGCACCCCCGGGGCTCCTCCCGGTTATTCCTGTCCCATCGTGTTTTGAATATTAGTAAAGTGTTTAAATGATACATCCAATACGCGTGTCCTTTGCTAAGTTGTGTGTTTGCTCTAGATTGCTGTATATCGCACCTCTGATGACCCGAATGTCGGGCAGTGTGACGTGTTCCTCTCTTTTGTGGTAGTTGTTGTGGAAATAGCTGTGAAATATTTTAAATAATTCTGTGGCTGTGTGCATACATAACTCACATATTTGGGCAACAGCTGTTTATTTGTATTCCGTTTAATCTGATTTTCGTTGAATTTAAAAAGTTCTAATCATGAAATCCAGCGATGGTGCTGATCGTCGATTACTACGATTAGCCGCTTGGTTGACGTGAATAGTGTTCAAATCAATATAATTGCTCAATTTGAAATTAAGTCATGCCATGAATTATCATAGCAATGGGCACATTATGCTTTATGCTCATAACCAGTACTTGATTTTCTTTATACTGGATTTGATTACATGCCGAAGTCAAGCTATTAACTGACTTACGTTAGAGTAGCCTTCCTAACCATACTGTAGGTTTCATGGTATTTCCAAATTCTCATTCCTAACATTTTATTGATTTCGTTGGAATATCTGAAATATTTGCGCCCCCTTAATGGAGATGATTCTGCACAGCAAGCTATTATACTCCTTTCCATCGGTTTCCATATATCTGATATCTTGACGTCATTATTTAATAGCATATGGCATAATGTCACTCGTAACCAGTGACACATATAATGTGACATAATAATACATGATATATCAGGACGCATAGCATTTTGTAAAAGCTCTGGATTTCCATCCACTGCTCCATTCCAATACCACATTCTAGGTCCGTTCCAATTTTCAACCCGGCCCGCGCCCCCTCTGCGACACAAGTAATTTGATCCTGACCTTGGCATAAGACCGCACACTTCCCCACCACTAAATTTCATTTCAGGGTGTGTGTTAAGTACAAGTGTCCAAGATTGTGACCAGTGTTGGTTTACAGTATCATATGTGATGTAGTCTGTACCTGTTCCCGCCCTGGCAGCATTTACACCCTGCTCTACAGATCACGCATATTTACAGTTTAATGAGTTATAGTCTTGCTCTTTCAGATAACATTCTACCTACAAATACTTTCTTCATATCTTCCTCACGGTTTATATAATAATAGCGTATCTTGTCTTTCTCAACCCTGGTCCCTGAACTGCCAGTTATTGTACAAATAAAAGAACATCCGCTAATATAGGTGTGCCTACACGGTACGTGGTATCCCACACATTTTATCTGATATCTCTGATACCAGCAATCAGCTGACATACCACGTGACAAGTACACGTGACAAGTACACGTGTGTACTGTGTACACGTGACAAGTACACGTGTGTACTGTGTAGAGTACACTGTACAGGTCTCTCTTTTTGTTGTCACATTGAACTTCAGTGTTAGTTCAACAACTGTTTGTGTGTTTCATAAACTGAGAGAGAGAGAGGAGCTCTCTCCGGATCTTTCTGACAAGCAATAATACCTGATAAATTGTCATATTCAAATCAAGATACGTGGTCGCGTGACCGACCACGTGGTCACCTGACATACCACGTGGTCCGACTCAGAGTGTACTTAAATCTTACTCGGCTATTATGTTCATATATTGGCTGAGACTCACAAGTATTGATTACCCAGGCATGCAATAAGTGGAGGGATCATTATCTGCTAATTACAGGCTCATTAAATACCCATTACGGGACTTGTATTGCTACAGAAGATTGCCACAGAGTCACGGCAGGGCGCGAGTGTGACCCTGTGAGGACATTGGACAGGCTCACATTCAGAGTTAATATGCTGGCAAAGGTTCAATAAACTGGTCGTTGGATGACTGGGATTTATTTTTTGTACACGTGTGATAGAATATTCATAAGTATAATATCATATCCAAGGCTCTCGATAAATTGCGATAATATTTCAAATTATATAAATATATTTTTCATGATATTGTCCCTTTTTCCGAAAAGCGATATGGTTACGTCAACATTTCACAGTGATACCTAACTTTGAGCACCTAACCCTTTAACTGCTAGCAGAAGTCTGAGCTCTCATCTTCATTCTACTTTGTACTTTGATTTTGTCAAAACGGAACAATTTAGGCTAACTTCCTTCCCATTTTGCGGGAGGGGCCAGTGGAACACACCAAGCAGGCATGTGACAAATTCGTTCTCGTAACAAAGAGATACGAGGTCTGGTCCTAGACACGATTATAACTTAATACTTGATTAAGTTTGATGATTTCAAGGTTTTGTGTAGTTTTAATGATTTCAAGGTTTTGTATGTGGTTTTGTAGAGGGGGGGGGGGGGGACAATGATTAAGATCCAGCAGACTAGTCGAAATATCCCAATGACTATAAAACACTATTATTGGTTGTAACTAAGTAAAGCTTCAAGTTGGCCAACACACACACACACACGTGAGGGGTGAGGGAACACACCAAGCAGCGTCGGCTACAGTTTGGAGGATTCCTCGCCAGGAAGACCATTTTCCTAGCAGTGTCCGCACTACAGTGCTGGTGTAGTAGTGCCACTACACCCGCCCTCCCAACCCCAGCTCAGGGCTTGGAGCCCTGCCATACGCTCCAAATATAGCACACTACATGTGCACCACACCACACGTGCACCACACGTGTGCAACCTTACCAGGACAGCTACTAAATTTAAATATTTAGGCAGAAAAAGTAAAGCGAGAATGTTTTTCTGCTTACTGCAATTTCCATCAAATGTAAGATTCTGCCTTTTAGTTCCTTCTGTATTCTCAACTTACTTATTCTGCAAAAGATCCTGCAACCAGGCCGTTTTTGTGTTAATAAGCTTTGCAAAAACAGCCTGACCGAGCAAATGACATGATTGATCCTGTTGGTTACAAAGTACTTGATAGGGTGCAGACAGGTGGGGAGGCCATGCAGACTCCACTTCATCCCTGATTCCGCTCTCACAAATGCCCCTAATGAGATTTCAATAAGTGGTAATACCTGTGAGAAAATAGAGGGAGATAAGGTAGCTTTATCTCTTCTGCTAACAATTCTGGGAAGTTGGAGAGAAAGAGGGAGAGAGAGAGCTGGATCCCCACGGTGGTAATGTGTGATGTAACACAGCTGACACGGTGCAACACCAAGAATCGGAGTTTTTCCCCCCAGTCCCCGGCTGATCAATGGATTTCCTGGAGCGGGATCACGTGTTCCACATCACGTGATGTTGGGTTCCCTGTTGACAGGCTAGCCGCCGTGTGTGCTCCAGGTTGTCTCCCGATCCCAGGCTACTCTGTACTGTGCGAGTGGAGATCATGATGGTATTTCGGGTTATAATTCACATCTCTTCAAGGGGTTCCCGGTTTAATTAGCACTGGTGTTCTGGTCACGTGACTTCCTGTTAGCCAATGACAGATCCCTTATCGTCCGGGGTCGGAGCCGGACTAGTGGGAAAATATGTTGCAGTCCCGTGTCCCTCTCTCCATTCATTTCGTACTCTCACCTTTTTTCTCAGGTTTGACCTGCCCGGCAATTAAAGTTCTGCATCTGGTTTATTTGTGATAATTCGTAAGAATGTTTTGAGTTGAGTTGTTGGTGTGTAACTTCAGTGCCAAATGTAGTCCTCATTATTAACACTTGGTGTTTCTCCGTTGTTTCATTCCCTTTCACTGCTGGCTGAGTTGATAAAGAGGAAGCGTAATGTTTCCGGGCAAAATTTGTAGTTTTCCCGTTTATTGCGACAAGAAAAAGGCTCTTATCAGGATAAGGAATAATTGTTCTACGTTTAAATGTAACGACATCGTATTCATAATGATCTCAAATTATTTGTTACATATCTAGTAGCGTTGAAAGTATTAAAACTTTAAAAGAAAGCGTGGAGAGAATGTGCTCTATTTTAAGATTCTGGTTTATGATCATATTTGGTAAAACGGGGTAAAATGGCTCGCCGCATTTACCTGAACTCAGAAACTGTAGCTGGTGCTCCATAATTGTATTTAAGATCAGTGTCTCCCTATGTATTTATGTCTGGCTCTTTATATCAGAACTTCAGAATTTACAGAATATTTGCCGAAATTATTTATTTCAGATTTGATCGAAATTCTACAATAACTTAGTCCATAACACATACTTTATGGGTTATTCTACCTGGATGGTATTTCCATAACCATAACCAGGTGCAAAATGGTTTCCGAAAATAATACATTTTAAATTAAACAGGAGAAGATAAATTTATACTATTAAATGCGGATGGAACACTGCTAACACAACAGCGTTAAACTTGCGACTTGTTAGATTTTAAACGCGGTCTTACCTCGCGGAAATTCCTTCTCCAAATTTAGGCTCCTGACCGTTTAATCACGTTATCTCTAGTTATCTTGAAATTGTAAGACTGCCAAATCCAATCTTGCTTGCGTTTTCCTGCCTGCCACCCCAAATCCAACACAAGTTACGAATCTACGGGCCACACTTCCTGAAATCCTGCCGAACACTCATTTGAAAAATTATCACATATTTGAATATGTTAATATTTTAAATTAAGCAATGGTAGGTGTGAATGATGACGTAAGAAACTCTTCCTAAATTCCCTAATTCCAATGACTGTGGCAGTTCCCCCGAAGGTAGATTTAGAGTAAGAAATGTATACTTGAATTTCTAGATTTAGAGTAAGAAATATGTACACTTGAATTACTAACACAACCGATTTATTATATTAAAAAATTGTACACATCCCATCTCAGTGCCCGGCAGCATCACGTGGCTAAGCGACCGTGTTATCACGTTTTTCACTTCTGTTTTACTATATATCATATAATATATAAGATGTGTGCGCTTTATATCCTGAAACTACCCACAGAACACACACTCAACCAGAAGATCAGATTGTATACATTATATCTTGTTAGGTGTGCATATTTGTGATTGCTGTTAACAAGGTATGTTTTCACACTTCAGTCCCAGTAGATCAAGCTAATTATTATTTAGCCGGCTTGTCGTATTATCGCCGTGCCTCTTTCCTTTTTTGTTGCACTGATCTCCAAATTATCTTACAGAACGTATTTAGTTTTATCTCATGGTACGTGCTGTTATTTTGCATCATTGTATTTGTTGGTGTATTTGTCTGCTTTTGTACACAGGAAACTGTGGTGAAGGGAGTGATTTTCGTGGCTAACATTTAAAGGTGGTCTTTGTTCTAACAAGCTCGTCTATTATTTGTGCTTATTTTTAAACCAGTCTAGCCTTGATTAGAGACATACATTGTAACAATTCGATCACCGTCCCGTATTTTGAGCTACACATCTGTTTATTCCTTAATATATAATAAAATATAAATGAGTACGTATAATTTTTGATGAATCTGATGCTAATTTTTGAGTAAGCAGCTGCTAAATTACAGTATTTAGTGAAGAGTATTTCTAAGTTAATTATTAAGTTTCAAGTTAATTATTAAGTTTCAAGTTAATTATTAAGTTTTGAAACCGGACACAAGTTTCCACTTCTCACACTCTGCTGACCAGGACATTTACTGAGACACCACATTAATAAATAAGTTAAAATTCCTAACAGATACCACTGATAAGATTGAGCCATTTGTTTTCCAGGTTATATTTTAGTCGCTTACGTAGTCTAATAACGGCAGATCCGCACTGGACTTCCTGTGCGCAGTGCACGTGACCAGTGTGCAAAGAGAGACAGAGCTGGATGGATTAAACCGGGCTTTGTCAAGAATCAGGACCGTGTTGATATCAGTAAATTGGGCTCTATTATTATCCTTCCATTGCGGCCGACAAAATGATGGTCGAAACAATGACATCCAATTACGCAGTTTTTAATGTACCGCATTTCTCCTAGCACGGGCCAGAGTTTAGCGCTTTATTGCACTGTGTTGGCTGGTCAATGATGTGACACAGCGCTCGGTTGCTCACAAAGCGGTATCATTACTTCATCAACTCTGAAAATATGGAGAAGGTGGCATTAAATGTTGCGTGCACTCCTGTAAGCATGGGTTCTCTGCAAAATGTGATAAAAAGGGGAAGAATTTGGAGCGGCTGATGTACATGATGATATACTGCTAATAACTTTAGTACAGTGTTCTGTGTACAATCCGTCCGGGGCCCCCTATACGGGAGACACACACCATGCAAACATCACCTTCAATTACCTTGATTGATTTCAGGAAATCTCTCCACCTTGATTGGCTGATCTTGCTGTCACGTGGGCTGATACTGCTCTCTGAGTGGTTGATTAGTCAGGTTTACCTCCTGATTGGCCGGTCTCCGTGAGAAAACATTCTCCGGAGATACCCCGGGGCCTGAGGTTTTTAAAAGTCTGTATCCACTGGAGTAGCATATAGTCGGGTCACGAGGCACCGCACCTGCAGCCTGATTGGTTGCGCGGGGTCACGTGGTGTTACAGCTGCATTCTGATTGGTTTTCAGGGGAAAAAACCAGATCTTGGCAGGGGACTTGCACAACATACTTGGAGAGCAGTCAATCACTTTCAACATATCAATAAATTCGTTTATATCAAAACATGATGAGGTATAGTGAATAATATCAAGATACATGACAGATGTGTGATGTAGGAGTTTTTTCTCACACTCGCTGGTGGCTGAGCGATGCAGGGGACTTGTTCGGGTGCAGACATTATTAATTCATTCTTTTCATCCGTTACAGTGTTACGTATACAGTTGCATTCAATTATTCCGTTCACCCAACCCGTTACAATGTAACGTATGTCGCAGCTAATTATTTCGTTCATTCTTTAGTTTTACAAAATTACTGAGCCTGCTTTCAATCATTCCACTCATCCGTTGCACGTAATTCCTATCATTCCAACCGAAATACCTGTATAGTAGACATTCTGCAATTCCAGAAGTAACAACCTATTCTACTCTCCTATTCTACTCACATATTATTGTCTTGGTCAGCTTCATGCTGCATGTTACTCACTAAATTGTAAGTAGTCGAACACTGTTCAACTTCTAATGAACTCCCCAATCAAGAACTTCTCCCTGGACGAGACCCCGGACTTCAGACGTATAATATTAATTTGGCTGCAGCGGTCGCGGTGCACTAAACGGCGATTTGGGTCGTTAAAATAAACGGTTTGAAACAGCGAATCTCGCTGCATATTTATTTGATGTTGCTGCAGCGCGGTATCAACTACTTCACCCTCATTAAATTTAAATAGTTACTGACGCTCAGGATCAATCAACTCAAATATGGTTTACTAAGATCTTTATACCAGGTTGGTATTTCTTGCATCACATTGACGTTGCGTTTTGAAAAGGTCTGAAATTGCCCATTATTGCTTTTAATTTCCCTCAATTTCCCTCAATTTCTGTAAAGGATACACCCTTCGTCTTTGTTCGTGTTAATGAGACATATTCAAATTTCATGAAACCTAGAGCTAGGCTAGATAACTTTGAAATACAAGTTTGATTCATGGAATTATACAACAGTTTATTTGGGTATGCCGAATATTTAGTCTTAGCTAGTTGAAATTTCAGCGCTGTATCACGTAGACTAGACATTAACAGTTGCAGACAAAACAACTGCACACCATGGTCCCCGTGATCACCATGACAACCAATCATCATCCTGACACCACAACACGTGTCACAATCCCGGGATTGTGATTGGCTGGAGAGTTTTCCATGTTTTACAGTGTTCATTAAGGAGAGTAATTGTGCGCAAGGAAGGAATCCTCTAGTTGTTGCAGACTCGGCTAAATACCCGGATCAATCCAACAATCCGTCACATTTTCTGGTTCAAATGTCACGCTTTACAGCTGAGAGACAGGCTTGTTTAATGATATGAATGATACGAATCTCTCGAGTGCAGTGCGAGCAATTCTCGTCCAGTATTAAAGGTTCTGACATCTTATCTGGGTTCTCTAAACATCCTTTTAAACATGTCTGATAAAAATTAATCTTTCTGGCTACCGGATTAACGATATTTGTAAGATCCAATTCGAATTTTGTCTCATGTCAAGAACAACCAAGAAGATTTTTACATTTTATATTTAATTAAAATAATGTAGTTAAATATTTGGGTGGAGATGTCGATCAGCTGGTGTTAAAGGACTTATTTGGTGTTATTGTCAAGGTTTTTAAGCTGACATCTGATGCTCTCCAAGGTATAGATGGAGAAACTAAATATGGTGCAATATTTAATGAAATTTAGAAATTTTATAAAACTTCATTTTAGATTATGATCAGTTGCTCCTACCAAGAACAAGAACTTAATAAAACATATTTACCATACCTCTAATGTTCAGTGTCTCCTATTCACTAATAGATCTGCTACCACGTGACATAATCCCGCCCTGATAATATTATGCTCCTACCAGGATGTAATACCAGGATTATCATAGGATATAACCAGCAAATAACTCCGTATAAATGCAACCTAGCCGTCTGTATCATCAACTTGTGCCGATAGAAATAATAATATCCGTGATACATGAATACCCGGCCCTGTATGGTCGACTTGTCGTCTGTCCACTAACACTCCTTCATCAATATAACACTCCTGCACCAAGCGAGCTACTAAAGTTTCAATCCCACGGTCTAACAGTTATTTATTACGCTCCTTAATACGCTCCTGATAACAGATCCTTGCAGCGCTCTCTCAATGGCAGATTGTCAATACCTGTACTGATTCCCGCCAATGACGATACGCTTCACGCTCATTACCGGGGTGATATATCGGGTAGTAGTCGTACTAACAGCTACAGTGCAGTCTAGAGCACTATGCTGGACGATTGTCCGGTTAATTGCCACCGGTTATTGGCTGTTAACTGGCATACTTTAGTCAGGCTAG